GGAGAGAGGGCGGGACACGTGTGCACTAGTGCAGGGAGGCACGTTGTACTGCAAAGCACAGTGGGCGCCCATGGTGGCACTCCATGGGATGAGGAAGGGTATGCCGACAGAGGCCATACGGGGGAGGAGACGTTGGAGGGAGAGAAAGGAAAGGGGGTTGGCACATGAGAGCAGTATGGGACGAGGCAGCAGTGAGCGGCAGCTCAGAGCATCCCCAGTCGCACCCTAGAAGTCCATGCGAGACAATGCGTGGGAGCTGTGGCAGTGCTGGGGGCCATGGCTTACGGGACGAGGTGGCAGTGAGTGCAGCATCTCACCAGGTGCGATTTTCCACAGTGAGCTGCTGTCAGTGGACAGCGGTCAGTGCAGCAGAGGCACGCAACCCAGTGTTTGGCATCTCCCCATCTCCTAAAGCCTGATCTTCCTCTGCTACAGTAGCGTCAGCCTGTGCCACAGCCACGTCTGCCTGAGCTAAACCCTGTGATAGTACCACGTCCGCCTGAGAGGCAGCGAGCTCAGCCTGGGCGACAGCAGCAGCGCGCGAGGCGGCCATAGGACAGGTGGCGCTGGGCGTTGAGCAGACGGCAGAGGCGCGGCGAGGGCGCTCTCAGGAAGAAGCGCGCCGCCTGGGCGCGCCACCAGCGGTGTGTGTTGCTGCGGAGGGGCCGCGGTGGGGGAAGGGTGGACGGGGGGTGAGGGAGAACAGTGCATGGTGCAGCGAGTGGGATGCTGGGGTGAGCCAGAGCAGGGACTAGTCTGAGGCGGCATTGATGGCAGGCGGTGGCATGCGCATGAACAGGTGTCCGCTGTGGAGACACAGCGAGAGAGGAGGACGGTGCGAAGCAAAGGCTTGAGAGAGGGAGGAGGGAGGGAGGGGGGGGAGGGAGGGGAGGGACTGAGGCAGCTGACTTCATGCGGTTGGTGACGATGAGGCGCCCCTCCGCCTCCACCACGCCCGGGATGGCCAGCCATGGCTGCCCCCACCGCGACGGCACCGCTGGGAAGAACAGCGGCCGCGTTCCCCTCTTGCGCCGCCGCTGCCTGCCACCCGACTCCTCTTCCCCCCCATTCTCCCCCTCTGCCCCCTCTTCCTCCCCTCTGCCCTGCTCATCCCCCTGTCCCTCCCCTGAGCCTCCCGCCTGTTGAAAGGGCGTGGGGGCGGCGAGGGAGGGGTGCTTGGTGGTGGCGAGCAGCGGGTGGGCGCCTTGGAAGGACGCGGCGCGCCGGGCCAATGAGTGTGCGCGGCTGGCGGGAGGGCAGGGCAGGGATGGATGGGTTTGTGAACCGCAGTGCAATGAGAGCGGGCGGGCTTGCACACTTTTGATTTCTTAAAGGTGTGTTTTGAATGCCATACATCTAGCACCCTTCCTGCCACCTGACATGCCTTCGTGCCTGCCCTGCCTCAACTCTTCACTTGCAACACGCCTCACCGCCTGCACTCGCCTCACCGCCTGCACTCGCCTCACCGCCTGCACTCGTCGGACGTCTCTGCAAGGAAGTAGCAGCGCCACTCGCCGCGCATGCCCTCGCGCTCACACCCCTCGTGCTCCGCGCGCTCAAAGCCCCCCAGCAGCCCCACGCCCCCGCGCCCCCTGCCCCTCCCCCCCGCATGAGCAATGACCAGCACCCTCCTGCTGCGCACGGCCAGCGCCAGCGCGCCCGCCAGCAGCGTCATCTGCGTTCCCAGCCATGCCGCGCGCTGCCCTCTACTGGCGCCAGCAGGAACCTGCGGAGGCGAGGGCGACGGGGACAGGCGGGGACAGGCAGGGAAGCTGAGGGCGGGTGGCATGGTGAGGGCGAGGAGGTGGGTGCTCAGCACGCAGCGCAGCGCCCCGGGGGTGCGCCGGAGCCACTCGCCTTACAGCGGGGTGGGAGCAGTTGCGCGGGAACTGGTGGCGCCAGAGGTCGCGCTGCACAAGGCGGGTGAGTGGGTAGTTGTCCGCGTCTGCACCCTCCACCCACGGCGGAAACGGCCCTTCCACCACCGCCACATCCCCGCGCGCCTCTCCTCTCCGCTCCGCCACATCCTCCTCTCTCCGCACTGCCCATGCGCTGCTCCCGCCTATCTCACTCTCCCTCTTGCCCCTTCACCTTCTCCCCCTTTTTCCGCGTCCCCACTCCCCCCCCCCTCCCTCTCCCCGACCCCCTCCTCCGCCCCCCTCCCCTCGCCCGCGCCCGCATAGCGTCGGAGGGCGGCCCAGGGCGGTTCGGAGCCATCGGCGGGGCGGCTGGCCCAATGCTCCTCCGCGTGCACGCGCGCATTGGCCGTGCAGTCCGCCAAATGCGGCGCCGAAACCAGCGCTGCTGGTGATGCTGCAATTCCGGGCGGAGGTGACGCGACGAGCTGTCTGGAGCCTTCCGTGTCGCTTGCGACTGGATCTGGGACGGTCGGCGACGACCTCGCGAGCTGAGCAGCCCATGAGGCCAGCAGTTCGTCAACTCGTCGCTGAAGCTGCTCGTGCGACGCTGGCGAATCTTGCGACGCTGGGGATCCCTTCTGCTCTCCCTGCGACTCCAATCGATATTGCTCCTCGACCGAGTGGATCGCGATGTGCTCCACGGCGACGGGCTGTCGCACGAGAAGGAGGAGAAACACGATGACGGGGAGGCACAGCAGCGCGGCGTGGAGCGGCGAGCGGAGGAACGAAACGAGGGGCTTGGGAGCGGCGAGAGACAGGAGGGATGTCGCGATGGTGGACGCCACGCGGTCACTGCTAGCTCCGTCCCTCTCGGCGGCTCCCTGACTCTGCGCTTCCGACGCCGGCATCGCACACACGTACTACCACAATGAAAGCATAATATGATCACTCGTTATGGAAGCACCAAGTCGCCGCTCGTCGACAGACGGTGAGGGCAAAGGTAAGACATGCATGTGAGTACTAGGGTTAGGTAAAAACGCGCACACATGACTGCTTTTCTGTCGGTCGACAGAAAATCCTTCCCCCAAGGACGAAGGGCGAAGTGTTGACCAAAATCCAGTTTCGAAAACTTTCATTAGAGTTTTGAGTGCTGTAGTGTTACGAGTGCAATTGAGCGAGCGAGTGAGAATTGCACTCTCACAAGATTATAATTTTTAAACACACATGTAGTGTTTTTAAAATTGTGTATTGTGAAAGCGAAGCTGCTTGTACTGCACAATTGGCATCGTCGAAGCGCGCTAAACGCCCTTCTCCAACTACAAAAACCGTGGGTTGGAGCTCATTTCCCTCCACCCACGTTTCTCAATTTTCAAACGGCTCACTCAACATTTTCCGCTCGAGTAGTTTTTCCCTCCAAGCTGGCTAGGATTAAATCGCTTCCTAGAGGCGAGTCACCCTCTACTTTACTCAGCGACATTTTCAACTTCAATCGCTCAACGATGGCACCTACGCCGACACTTAACAACGAGAACTCGTCAACCCCCGCTTCCGACTCCGACCGTAACGCCCGCGATTCTGCGGGCGAACGCCGTAACAAGCGTCGGGCAGAGAAGACGGACCTTCCGCCCCGACTGCAGTGGACGTGCTGCTGGGCGGGCTCGAGGTCCACAAAAACGCCGAAACCCAGCAGCACCCTTCGGTCCCTGTGGCGCCAGTGGCGCCTGTGGCGCCAGTGGCGCCTGTGGCGCCAGTGGCGCCTGTGGCGCCAGTGGCACCTGTGGCGCAAGTGGCGACGGGGACTGGCGCGGCACACGCGACTGACGCCGAGCACACGCCAGCACCCGCTGCTGGACCGTCGCGTCAGCGTCAGAGGAGGCGGACTGCAGTCTCCTCGTCTGACGCGACCGCCGCCCCTGCGCTGACGCAGGCGTTGACCCCGGACCAGGTCAACGCGCTGCTGTCCCTTCTACAGCAGCAACCCGTCAGCGTTACAGCCGCGGAAACTGCACTACCCGCCGCATCTGCGTCGGCTAAAAAAGAAACTGCAAAAAAAGGAGAAAGGCACACGGGGAGCACGGACGAACCGGCATGACAACGACGCAGCGACTGCCGCTCCCCCTGCCCCAGCGGTCGACAACGACACCGACGACTCTGAAGATGAAGCCGGTGAGGCTCCAGTCAACAATGTTAATTTTATTGGCACGGAAAACCTTCCCCCCCCCCTTCTTCTAATCTTACGTTCTCGGGCGGCAACCTTCGTCAACGACTCCGTGCGAGAGCAAGCGGAGCTACTGGAGGACCTGCGGGCGTACCTGCTGCACGCCGAATACAAGGCGCAGCGCGGTGATCCGGCGGGCGGACTCGAACTCATCTCACACGCTCTCAACCTCATCGCGGGGCGTTTCGAGGTGCTTCAAGTGGAGGACGCCTCCGACTTTCGCACGGCGAAGCGCTTTAAGCTGTACCAGCAGAAGCGCCTGCTGACTTCTCGACCCTTCAAGCAGGCGGTCGCGGACATGGCGGCGATGGACCGTGCGGCAAGCGGATACGCTCGTGTCAACCGCGGCGGAAACCACGGGCCGATGCCGTTCTTACCCAAGCGAGCCCCCCCGCCCACGGCCAATTGCCGTGGGTTCCGGGGCTCATGCTTCCGCTGCGGCCAGCCGGGCCACGTGGCAAGTGCCTGCCCTCGGAACGGGCATGGAGGCCAGGGACCCGCTCCGGTGGTGTAGGAGCGGGCCATGAGACTAGGCGCTTGGGCGCTAGGCACGGTGCACTCTTGAGTGCGAAAACCGTGGGCAACCCTAGGGGTTTGCGATGGCAAGAGGCCAGCCCTAGTAAAGGGTGGGATAGGCTTGGGCCTAGGATAGGGAAGGGGAACAACAACCCTCGGTCCCATATGTTGGCCACTTGGTGGCATGCTAGGAAAGCATTGCTATGTGTGTTGGTTGATTTAATAAAAACTACCTTCCTAAAGGCCTATGGTTTTGGCAAAGAGACTATGAAAAGCAGAAGAGGAGCAGAGAGAGAGAGAGAGAGAGAGAGATAGAGAGAGAGAGAGAGAGAGAGAGAGAGAGAGAGAGAGAGAGAGAGAGAGAGAGAGAGAGAGAGAGAAGAGAGAGAGAGAGAGAGAAAGAGAGAGAGAGAGAGAAGAGAGAGAGAGAGAGCAGACGGAAAGAGAGAGAGAGAGAGAGAGAGAGAGAGAGAGAGAGAGAGAGAGAGAGAGAGAGAGAGAGAGAGAAGAGAGAGAGAGAGAGAGACAACGAGTGTGGACCATGGCCCTAGGCATCAGCCCCTACGCACTAAGGGCAGGCACAACCATGTCCTACCAAGTGGACGACGGGGCAAGAAAAAAAAAAAAAAAAAAAGGGGAAACGAGGAGAAGAAGAGACATGCGTTGACATGCGTTAACATTCCCGACACATTCGTTGACATTTCATTCAATTGTTCATTCTCTTCACACCTTCGATCAATGGTTGCCCGTACAAGTACATGCACACGCATGCTTTAACGTGGAATACTCAAAGCTTATACCACTTGGCCTCAAATGTACAGGAGCACGACGGTGCGAGGCGGCATGCCACGACGATCCGTACGAATTTGCCGTTACAGACAGAACTATTACACACATGCGCGGTCGTCCTCGCGCGACATTTGCGTGGTGGAGCTCATGGTGCCCCAACAGCCTTGTCCTCTCCGTCATCGCCAAGGGTTACTGGTTGCCATGGAGCCACGGCCCACCGCAACATTTCCACGATCACAATCATGTCGGGGCAAACACGCATGCCACGTTCACACGTACCGCCATCCAAGAACTCATAGAGACGGGAGCGGCAATTCCGATGGCCGCAACGGAGCTTACATGCATAAGTCCACTCAACGTGGTCGAGCAAAAAGACAAATGCAGGCTCATTCTTGATCTGAGGAAAGTCAACGCCAACTTGATCATCCCCAAGTTCAAGTACGAAGGGCTCAGCCGCGTCGCCGACCTTGCGCGCGTTGGGGACTGGATGTTCTCCATTGACCTCAAATCTGGTTACCACCACATCGACATCCACCCATCGTGCTGGAAGTTCCTTGGCTTTGAATTTGATAAGCGCACATACGCATTCCGTTCACTACCATTTGGCCTCGCGACAGCTCCATTCGTTTTCACGCAGCTCATCAAGCAACTAGCTCGGCGTTGGCGAGAACAAGGCATCCGAGTCGTACCTTACGTGGACGACATCTTATTTCTCTGCCAGTCGAAAGAGGACGCGCAAGCAACTTGCCAGCGGGTGATATTGGATCTTAAAGAGGCAGGCCTTGTGATAAACGCGAAGAAATCACTACTGTCACCATCGCAGCGTCTCCGATTCCTGGGCGTAGAACTCGAGACCGATACCGGCCGATTCTCCATCGGTCCGGACCGACGAGCCTCACTACATGCAACCATCCGGAACCTCCTGAGCGCAAGCAAGGCATGCCGACCAGTCCCGGTCCGCCACGTGGCCAGAATCACTGGCATGCTCGCATCGATGGGTGTCGCACTTGGCGCGACAGCTCGCGCATTCAGCCATGCTATGTTACAAGTGATCGACGACGCACCGTCATGGAAAAGCAGCGTCGTTATCCCCCCATCTGCAGCAGAAGAGCTCCAATTTTGGCTCGAGGAGTTCGACCGTTTCAACGGCACACCTTTTCACGTCAAGAACAGCTACGACGCGGTAATCCACGTGGATGCCAGCTCTCATGGTTGGGGCACCACTCTGACCACATTTCCGGGTGGCATCGAAGAAGCTAGCGCAACCATGTCAGAGCCGCTACGAGGAACGTCCAGCACGCGACGGGAGATCGAAGGCGTCCTTTGGGCGCTACAAACGTACGCGAACAAGATCAAGCAAAAACACGTTCTCGTGCGGGTGGACAACCAGGGCGTATTCTTCATCCTTCGCAAAGGCGGTTCTCACAGCCCCGACCTCACAACGGCATGCAAAAGCATCATCCGAACATGCATGGCGCTTGGCACGCGCTTGATCATTGAATGGATTCCGCGCGAGCTCAACACACACGCCGACGAGCTTTCAAAAATGGTCGACCACGACGATTACGCGCTGAAAACGCCGTGGTTCCGGATCTTGGAACGTCGTTGGGGTCCTCACTCCATCGACCTTTTCGCAAACTCCCGCAACACCCAACTGCCGCGCTTCTGTTCAAAGATTCCCCACCCGGCAGCCATTGCAGTTGATGCGTTCTCGATCGCGTGGACACCTGAAAACAACTTTGCCTTCCCCCCACCTCAACTGGTCCCAGCCGTCCTCCATCACGCACAACGCACCCATGCATCACTCACACTGATAGTTCCGCACTGGCCAGGCGCAAGCTGGTGGCCACTCTTGCAACCCTCCCCACGCACTTGGGCACCACACATCCACGCGCACATCCCTCTGACACACGGAAGCCAATGCCTAGACGTAGGGTCCCATTCAACTGCTTTTTCGGGCATGGGACTACCGCACAGCCCAATCATTGCACTGCGAGTGGCATTTGACTAATTCAAAATATATACACCTTGTGTTCAGATTTGCTCCCAAAGTTACACGACCAACTGATCAACATGCTCGCGCAGTCCCGCGCCGATTCTACGATCCGGACATATGAACCATACTGGGCCAAGTTTCGAGCCTTCTGCACAAAAGTGAACCTCCCATTCCTCCCGGCATCCGACATGACCCTCGCGCTATACCTGGTACACGCAATCCGACGCAAAGCCACCCTGTCCGTAGTGCAGCTAACCTGCTCGGCGGTCAGCTTCGCCCATCGCATGACCGGGAGCAAATGCCCGACAACCGGACCGTTCACCACCCAAGTCCGTGACTATGCAAAGCGACACTGCCCACGCCCTACTCGTCTGAAGGAACCCGTCTCGATCCAACAAGTCCAGGAAATGGCCGCCAGCTACTTGCAGTCCGACGATCCTGCGCAATTTCAGAAAGGGTTGATACCCATCCTCATGTACTCCGGATTCCTGCGATACTCTGACCTAGTAGCCATAAAATGGCAAGACATCCAATTCGACGACGAGGTCATGTGGATTCTCATACCACACTCCAAGACCGATCAAGCTGGTCACGGCACTTGGATACCCATTGCAGCAACGGCGGACCCCTGCTGCCGAGTGCGCTGCACCCGACGCTTCATCCGACTCGCTGGCTATGGCCCACGGTCAGAGGGACCATTGATTCGTGTCTTCGGTCACGGTTCAACCAGCGAGGGCCAGGCTAGGCCACCTTCATACACTACGATCCGGAACTGGTGCAAGGAAGCCTTCGCAAAGGTTGGCCTTGGAGAGTTGCAGCTAGGTACCCATTCTTTCCGAAAAGGTGCAGCCACAGTAGCAGCCAACACGGGAGTGCCAGACAGAGTCTTCAAACGGCTGGGCAGATGGCGAAGCGACACAGCAAAGGAAATGTATGTTACGCCATACGTCGAGCCCCTCATCGAAGCCTCCCGTACCCTACAAGATTCGACGCATGCGGTGTCATCGGCGCAACACACAGAGGCACTCGTACGCAACCGGAGGCCCCCGCTGCCCATGTCTCAGAGACCCCATTTGTAATGAGAACGATGCTAATTGATAAGAAAGAAAGCAAGCTTTCTCAATATTATAATTTTTAAACACACATGTAGTGTTTTTTAAAATTGTGTATTGTGAAAGCGAAGCTGCTTGTACTGCACAATTGGCATCGTCGAAGCGCGCTAAACGCCCTTCTCCAACTACAAAAACCGTGGGTTGGAGCTCATTTCCCTCCACCCACGTTTCTCAATTTTCAAACGGCTCACTCAACATTCCCACCACCCACCCCAGTGTAAACCGCCTTGCTAATGCCACTTGGATAGGGTACATAATAGCTAGTGTTATTAGTCCGCACTAGCTTATGTTGAACGATGATGCAAATGTTGTAATACGCCATTTGTAATGAGAACGATGCCAATTGATAAGAAAGAAAGCAAGCTTTCTCAATCAAGAATATAATGAGAGAAGGCATGAGCGAAAAATATAGAAACTACATTGGTAACGGCAATGTGTGGAAAATGGGGTGCGCGACGGGCCTAGCGCCGAGGTTGGGAAATCTCTAGGCGGAGGTCCAGAGCGCGGGTTACTAACCGAACCGTGAGGTTGGGGCACGTCGTGAACAGTGGCGGGAACAGTGTCGAGGCGAGTGTCGCAAGTGGTAACGGATTACTGTTGGGTGCTGTTGGCGGGAACAGTGGTGTACGCGCTGAGCAGGGACGCAAAGTAAGAAAAAGGGAATTTTCATTACACTACCCTCCCCCTTAAAGCCCGCATGCAAAATAGTGACCCCCCCCTTCTAGTTGGGTCCACTTGATATACTGATTCAGAGGTTTTGTTTGTAGGGTGTAATGTGTTGCTGTTTTTCTTTTTTTCTAGATACTGAACCATCTTTTCGATTTTGATCGAGGAATCTGGTCGCAGGGTTGGGCAAATGTGTCGTAAGGGGTGCCAAAATCACGTTCATGGCACATTCACATTCGTGCCACATTCACATTCGTTCCACATTCAAATTTCCAGTTCTACGTCGTGGGAATTCCACATGCAGAGACAAACACTTGCATCGGTAGCACCTGAGCCTTCTGCAAAAAGCGAGAGCTGTAGGAATGGGTTTGGGGGTGTGAATTATGCAGAGAAAAACAAACAGGAGAAGGTGATAAACAAAGTGAGTCAAGGAGTCGGAAGAGGAGAGTGAGAGGCCGACGGAAACACGGACGCGAGGGGAGAGGGAGAGAACAAGGGGCCAAAGGTTACTGGTTGGGTGATGGGAGGGGCATTGGGGAGGGGAGGGCACGAAGGCGACGGTATGGGACGGGAGGTGCGAGCGCGAAGGCGACGGGACGGGACGGGAGAACACGAGGGCAACAGGAAGGGACGGGAGGTGCGAGCGAGAAGGCGATGAGAGACGAGAACGTGAGCACGAGGGAGATGGGAGGGGAGACCATGAGCGCGAAGGTGGTGCGAAGATGGGAGAACGTGAGCGGGATGGCGGGGGAAGGGGAGAACGTGAGCGCAATGGCGGGGGAAGGGGAGAACGTGAGCGCGATGGCGGGGGAAGGGGAGAACGTGAGCGCGATGGCGGGGGAGGGGAGAACGTGAGCGCGATGGCGGGGGAAGGGGAAAACGTGAGCGCGATGGCGGGGGAAGGGAGAACATGAGCGCGATGGCGGGGGAAGGGGAGAACGTGAGCGCGATGGCGGGGGAAGGGGAGAACGTGAGCGCGATGGCGGGGGAAGGGGAGAACGTGAGCGCGATGGCGGGGGAAGGGGAGAACGTGAGCGCAATGGCGGGGGAAGGGGAGAACGTGAGCGCGATGGCGGGGGAAGGGGAGAACGTGAGCGCGATGGCGGGGGAAGGTGACAAGCACAAGCGCGGTGGCAGCTTGTGAAGGTTCTGCAAAGAGCGAGAGAGGTTAGGATTATTTGCTGCGTATGAAGACTTTGGGCCTGAGAGAGGGCGGCAAAATCGCTAAAAACCAATAGGAGGGAAAAAACAGAGAGAAACAATGTGAGGGAAGAGGAGAGAGAGGGCGACAGAAACAATGAGGGCTACTGGACAAGAGCCCGGTTCGAGGGCGAGATGAGAGGGGAACACGAGGGCGACGGGATGGGAGTGGAGAGATGATAGGCAACGGGAGGGCGGCTCAGAGCGAGCGCAAAGGCGACGAAGTGGGTAATGGGAGGGGAGTGAAGAAGGGAGCCGCGAGGGCGTTTCAAGGCCAGCGGCAGGGCGATGGGCGAGGAGAGTCGACTGTGCGCAACAAGAGGGCATTGCGGGCTTAGGGCGACGACGATGATGTGGGTAATAGGAGGGGAGACGTGGGAGGCGACGAGAGTGCGCCTCGATTTCGAGGCGAGCGCATAGGCGACGAGGTGGGTGACGGGAGGGGAGAAAGGAAGGGCGACGAGAGGGCGTTTCAGGGTGAGCGAGAATGTAACGAAGTGGGTGATGGGAGGGGAAACGGGGAGGGTACGCGAAGTGCGACGGGTAAAGGGGGGGCGAAGGTAATGGCGAGGGAAAGGCGACATGGGCTGACGGCGATGCGGAGGTTGACGATTGTGCTACTGGCGGGAAAAATAGCACTGCGCTACTAGGCTACGTAATACTGGAGGCCCTCCTTACGAAAGCGCATGTACATCTTGGAAAATTCGGCTGCGCAAGTACTCTGAGGACGGGGTGGTTCTCAATTTTATCCAAGGGAACCTAGTTGTCCTTGGTGGGCGTTCGGTCTTTCCAGCGGATCAAAAATTCGATCCGACGAGGCCCCCCGTGGGTCGCGCACTCGGTGGCTCAGAATCTTCTCGGGCGCGATGATTGGTTCTGTCGGTGGTCGTGTCTGTCAAATGTAATTCTATGCTTGTAGGCTACAGTGAGTAGCACAATAGGGAGTACAGTTGTTAGGGTTGCATATTGTTGAGAATATGTTTGTATGCTTTTATATAAGTGCACTGTTCGAAGTGTGTTTACAAGGGCTCGCCATAGCGAGGGATTTGAACCTGGTGGCGAGTCAACGGGCCGCAACCGAACACAGCGGTTGCGACCCGCGTGCAGCTCAAGAGTCAAATCGACAGCAGGAGTCATCGTCTACAGTACGCGAACTGACCTGTGGGGCGCGGCAGGATACCGCGCCCTTGCCGAAGCTGAAAAGTCTCGCCAGCGCGACTGTAACAAGGCAACCCAAGCGACGCAGCGCAACTGTTATACAGTTGCGCCTTGGTAACTGTTTGCCCTATGCGTTTGCTATATAACAGAATGTAATGCCTTGCTCATATTACAACAATTCTCAAGCTTGTGTCCGGCCTACCCTCGGCCGCTGCTTTGGCACCACGTTGCAAGCCAGGAGAGCTACCTCTGAGTGACCTATAGCCCCGCTGTAGGGACGTCGTTAATTCCTAGAGCTTCCGCTGCGCTCTAGCGACTTCTTATTTCCAACACATATTTGTACTTCCACACTTCCTAGTTTCACCCATTCCGTTGCATTCCTATTCTGAGATGGTATCACGAGTAGGTTAGATCCTCGGTTCGTTTTTTTCTTTAACTAGCCTCCACGCCCTACACGCCCTCCGGTGCTCTCGCGCCCTTCGCGGCCCTCCGCGCCCCTCCGCGCCCTCCTCGCGCCTAGCCCGCGCCCTCCCGCGCTGTCCAGCCTGTCGCCCGCCCTCCTTAGACCTCCGCGCGCCCTCCTCCACCGTTTGCGCGCCCTCCAAAACCGTCGTGCGCCCTCCTTAGACCGCCGCGCGCCCCCCCCTAATCGTCGCGCGCCCTCCTCAACCGTCGCGCGCCCTCCTCAACCGTCGCGCGCCCTCCTTAGATCGTCGCGCGCCCTCCTCCGTCAACGCTTCCCGCACACCAGCGTGTCAGAATCCCAACCACTAGACCATTGGGATAAAAGGGCTTGTTTCAGTAGCGGGTCAGTGCGCCCATAACCCCCCCAGGCAAACGTGCCTGTAACCCCCCCTAGGATCGATCGGGGATCTCACAGTGTAGCTCTACTGACACAGCGTGCGCTTACCGCACACCTGCGTGCGCTTACCGCACACCTGCGTGCAATTACTGCATCACCTCTGTGTGCGCTTCCCGCACACCTGCGTGCACTCTCCGCACACCTGCGTGCCCTTACCACATCACTCTGTGCGCTTACTGCATCTCTCTCCCCTTCACCTGTGCACCGGTCCCACGCCATTCCTACTGCACTTGGCTCCCGGCTCAGCGGCTGGCACCCGCTCTTCCCTCTGGTAGCGCCACCTAGGTTCGGTTAGAGCCCCGCCCCACGACTATTTTCTCACCGACTGTCTCTCGTCGTTTTCCCCGCTGGCGTCCCTAGCCCTCCGTAGTTTTCCTCCTCGTTCTTAGCTTCGCCTCCGCCGTGCTCCAGACGCCTCTAGCATGGGCTCCGCTATGGAGGCCCGTCGCCTCCGTTTCGATGCTGAGGACGCCCGATCGAGTTCGGTACCTGGCAACGCCAGACCACACGTTTCGTCACCAGCCAGCGTCAGGACGGCGCCACTCTGTGGGCTCACGCGTCAGGTGCTCTCGCGGCAGCCCCGTCCCCTCGCCGCCCTGCTGGCCGCCCCGGAGCCCACTCCTACGGCCCATGCGGACTACGACCGTCGGTCCTGGCTCGGGACGTGTGGCTCTCTCGTGACGCGGCCGCCGTCCTCACGCTATCGGAGCTTCTCCCCCCGACTGAGGCCGCTCACTTTGGCCAGGTGGAGACAGCCAAGGGGGTTTGGGATGCTATTGTGGCTCACTATTCCACCCCCTCCTCCGCCTCCCTCAGTCGCCTCCTCATGCCGTTCGTGTTTCCCGACCTAGGCTCGTTGCGACTGTTTCCGACCTAGTGACTCACCTCCGCTCGCTTGACGCCGGTTTTCGTTCAGCCTGTACCGACGCACAGCTCCTTGTTGCTCCCCCCCCCATGTGGCTCACTGTGCACTGGTTAGTCACCCGCCTCCCTGGTCGTCTTGCCACTGCCCGCGACACGCTTTTTTCAGAAGCACCCCACTGAGCTCACTATAGACCTCCTTCAGACTGCTCTCGGGACCATCGAGAGCAGCCTCCTCACCGTTGCCTCCGCCACTGATGCGTGGCCCCCCGTCTCTTTGCGGGGTGTGCCGCCCTCAGCTTCCCACTTCACCTATACCCGCGCTTCTGCTGCTGTGTCGGTCTCTGAGGACACCGCTGCCGTTTCTTCCGCAGACTGGCAGAAACGGGGCAAGAGTGGCAAGAAGGGCGGGAAGGGGGGAGGTGGGGGCGGTGGAGGTGGCGGTGGAGGTGGCGGTGGAGGTGGGAGCGGCGGTGGTGGCGGAGGCGGCGACGGCGGTGGTGCGCCAGGGGGAGGGGGCCTTGGAGGAGGTGCAGGACAGACACGCCCACCCCCATGTGGTGGCCCGACCGGTGGGGGCGTTGTCCCCCAGCAGCAGCAGCCACAGCAGCACCAGCCACAGCAGGGACAGCAGCAGCAGCAGGGACAGCAGCAGGAGCAAGCACTGCAGCAGTTCCAGCAGTGGGGGCCCCGCTGCAGTGGGGTCCGCAGCAGCACTGGGGTCCTCCGCCGCAGTGGGGTCCGGGAGGCCCTGGGAGCACCGGCCGCAGCAGCAGCTCTTCCAGCTGGGCCCCTCGCCCCCCTCGCCGTGACGCTAGCCCCTACACCCCACTGGTGCCTCACGGGGCCGGGCAGCCCCTGTCTCTGTGGTCGCGACGACCACTCTGCCGCGCGGTGCTTCCGCCGCCTCGACGACCTCTACCAGGCTCGTTGGGGCCCTCTGGCGGTCACGCCTCGCTGGTCTCGCCTGTTAGCCCGTAAGAATTGATGTCTTTGATCTGTCCATGGACGATGCGCGTCAGCATGCTTTGTATGTTGATGCTCACTTTAGTGCTGATGGGTCTGTGTGCTCGCGTGTTCGTAGGTTAGCCTGATTGCCTCCTGCTAGTGTAGCCTTGTGCCTGTCTAGCTTAGGTGCTTGTGTTGCTGCTCTAGGTACTTGTGTAGCGACTGGGTCAGGTGACCCTCCTGCTGGGGCCTCTCTGTCGTTCACGCTGGACTCGGGCGCGTCTCAGTGCTTCTTCCACGACCACACGACCCTTACGCCACTCCTCACCCCTGTGTCGGTGGCTCTGGCTGATCCTACCTCTGGACCAGCCGTTGCGCGTAGCTCCACCACCCTCCCGTGCCCTGTGGTCCCCTCTGGTGTCCTGCACGGCCTTCACATCCCCTCGTTCACTTGGAACTTGGTGGGTGTTGGATACCTCCAGGACAGGGGGATCACGGTTACCTTCGTGGGGGTGTGGGCGGACTGCACTCCTGTACTGACGCTACCACAAGTGCTGTTCTGGCCACTTTCACCAGGGAGCCCCGCTCCGGTCTCTACGTTCTCCACACCGAGCGCTCCCCGGTCGCGTCCTCCCCTCAGGTCGCTGCGTCCCCTCCGGCCCAGGTCCCCAGTCCATTTGCTGTGTCTAGCCAGGTAGTCGTGTCCAGTCCGGTCGCTGTGTCCAGTCTAGTCGCTGCGTCTTGCTCCTGTCACTCTCTTGCCCACCGCACCGTCCTGTGGCACCACCGCCTTGGCCACCCGTCGATCCCTCGCCTTCGTGGCATGCTCAGTCAGGGACTTGTCACAGGTCTCCCACGCACCTTCCCGTCGCTCCCTCTCTCGCTTGCCCTCCTTGCTCTCCGTGCGTCGCCGGTCGCTTACGCGCCACTCCCCACTCCTCCTCCCTTTGTCCGGCCACCGCTCCTTCGAGACTCTCCACTTGACGTCTGGGGCCCTGCCCCGACGCAGGGGTCTGGGAGAGAGCGTTACTTTCTGGTGGTCGTCGACGACTACTCCAGGTACATCACCGTGTTCCCTCTTGCGAAGAAGTCCGATGTGACTGCTACGCTGATCAGGTGGCTTCTAGCCGCTGAGGGCACTCGTGGTCGTCGAGTCAGTTGTCTTCACTTCGACCGTGGGGGGCAAGTTTCGCTCCGGCATTCTCGGCGGATTCTGCGGCGAACAGGGCATCACCCAGTCCTGGACGCTGCCAGAGTCCCCACAGCAGAATGGGGTTGCTGAGCGCCGCATAGGCTTGGTCATGGACATCGCCCGCACGTCCATGATCCATGCCCGTGTGCCCCCATTTTCTGTGGCCTCACGCGGTTCGCTACGCCGCACACCAGCTGAACCTCCAGCCGCGTGTCTCGCGGCCCGAGGCTTCACCGACCAGTCTTTGGACTGGTTCCCCTGGTGTTGGGTCGGCCTTTCGAGTCTGGGGTTGCCTTGCACTTGTTCGCGACACCTCCGCGGACAAGCTCTCGGCACGCGCCGTCCCCTGTGTCTTCCTTGGTTTCCCAGTGGACTCTGCCGACTGGTCCTTTTACCACCCGCCCTCCACCAGTTCCTAGACTCCCGTGACGTCCGGTTTGACGATTCTGTGTCCTACTACACCCGGTACCCCTGTCGAGGTCTCCCGGTACCCCCTCCCCCCTTGTTCCTAGCACCCTCTCCTCCTCCTGCTCCTGCTCTCCGATACCCCCGCCCCCCCCTGG